TTTACACTTTCAGCTGGTATTTGGCAGCTTTTGGAAAAGAAGTAACTATCTGTAAACAAACTTTGGTGAACTCCCCAAAGAGCGCTGAATGTATCCAAGGCACTGATTGTAGTAGAGTAGACTTGGGCAATACGAAATGCGTCAGTATATCTCTGACCTTCATCCCCAAGGAATTGTCGTAAAAGTTTCACTTTGCGTTTCTACGAAAGGGACTCCAGATAATCAAGATAAGTCTTCGCCATCGATTCCAATTGTCTAAAGACGGTTTGCCGGTAGAACAGGACCAGCAGGTTTATATAGTGTTTGACGCAGACGTGGTATCCCACCTTCGTCACCAGATGTCAAGGCTAGACATTAGCCATAGTAAGTTGGCAGCAGAAGGAAAACTTGTATGAAGTGTAGTATACGCAACAAATAATGCGGAGTGGGTTACAACATAAGAAGCGCACTTGGGCGTGCCTACGCGCGCGTGCAAAGTTAATGCCTTTTGAACCAGCTTCAGTTATTGGTCAAGTTCTAGTTCAAATTCAAGTTCAAGTGGGACCGGAACTGTAGGAAAATCCAGTGAATGTTACACCTTGGAACAGGTCGTTGATCCAAAAGTAAACCGGCACATTGGTGTGCCAAATGAGAGTCAAATCAACACACACGAATCACATGGTCAACCAAACAATGCCCACGTGTCCTGTACTAGCAGTCCCGCTGTGCCGGCCACGTGTACAATAAAAGAAACAGTAGTGTCAGTACAGGAAAAGAAACAAAGGAGAAGACAAGTTTATCGAATTTCGTGAGCAATATTAAGATGTAAGTTAAAAGGAGTTAAAGAAGCGTAGGCCGTAGGAGACGAGTAAAAGCTTAAGGCATGAAGGGGAAGACTGTAAACTGCAGACCGAGAGCGTCAAGTCAATGCTCGATCTCTTTCACCGTCGGTACCATCATGACGTCTGAAGGCAGTGCTTTCCAATAACCTATGACCCTACGCGATAAACGAAAAGCTGCCCAACCCACGTCAGACCGCGGTTTGTGCAACTTTAATGGGTAGCCACGAAGGGTTGGCGCTCGAATTGAGCGAAACAGTCCAGTCAAATCAGGACCAATCTGACCCATCAGTATACCATACATGAGGACCAAGTCTCCCCGAAGCCGCCTGTAATACATGGAATATATATCCAACATATCAGCATGCGAGAGTCCCTTAGGTATATGAGAGAGCGTTCACTTTTCACGGTGTTGCACACTGTTTAGCAGTTACTGCAGTTGTCATTTAAATAAATAATCTGGCTGTCTTGGCTTCTGTGTTGCAGGTAGCAAGGCACAGATTAATCTTCACTACTTTAGATAACAGTTAGGTCTAGGGTTTTTCCACAATGGGCTACACATCCGTAGTTAGGTAGCAAAAAGCTGAGTTCACTGCCTAAGCTCCATGTGACTCACCAGATAGTCAATTCCGACCACAAAGCTCACTGAAATTCCAGAGCTCTTCGCGCTACTCACCCGAACGATCGCTCTCACACACAAAAATCAAACTGTTTAGAATGCAACACTTTCCGTCAAAACGAGTTACTTGAACACAAGCAACTTGCAGATTACTGACTAGGTTGAAGTTGACTAACAGTACTTAGTCTGCCTAACTTTGGTCCTCCGCATTCTACTTTTGTCCGGAATAATGTCGTCCGTTGTGTTACTTGAGGCTGGGAATGACGATCAGGAGAGTTGGTGCAGAGGAATATTCCGGCTGACTACCAGCTATTTTTGCTTCAGCAGTTATGAGCAGTGGCTTGCTGGTGCATGTTAACGATAATCCAGCGCCGTCAGATTCCAGCTGTGTTATGCAGCTGTCGGATCTTAGTCAGGACGGTTGTCTGCCTCACATATTACGGATGTCGCACGTCCGGTTCCTCTTAGAGCCGTGGGTGGTCATCGCCGAAAATCTAAGCTACATGAAACCGCCATCTACCGCTTCTCCGAATTTGCAGAAAACTGTTAGTTGTTTGGCTATGATCTGACTGCGACGATCACATCTCTGCATCTTCTTCACCCTCACTAAGTTATGGCGACCGCCGAGCTTTAGGACAAAATGGTTGCAAACACTACTAATATATGATACATGAATCGGGTTATCATTTGTGGGTCAAACATTTTCTGTTCACATGAAACATTTTTGTCCAAAGATCCCACTTGTTTAATCTTTTAGCTAGATTCCAATTTCCGCAGGTTGCTATCTGCCTGAGTTCACAATCTGTTGTTAGAAAAATGCTCAATTATTTTTGTATTCGATGAAATTTTTCTGAATTCTTCATGCACCTGTCGCAGATGTCGTCAGTTAGTTGTATAACAAACCACTTATTGCGGTTGCGTGAACTAGCTGTTCATCGGCTTATTCTAACATTTCGAGACTTAATTGATATTAGATAGGATCAAAAAATGCTGATATTTGGTATTACCCTCAAAAAACTGCGCTTCACGATGCGTTCCGACCCTATTTGATCCCATTAGGCTGATAGCGGGTATCGAACTCGGGACTATCGGGATGTTAGTTAGGACTTCTATTCCCTGTAGCCACCAGGTCCCGGCGGTTAGTGCTTGACACAACGGTTAATGACTAGTTGGATGGTTAAAAATGTTTTGGATGGTTATTTTGACGTACACGTTATGTGAATGAATTGCAGTGAGTAATCCCAATGTTAGCTGATTAGCGATATCAAAAATTAAGGGAAAAATTAGACCATGTTTGTGCAGCGACTGGTCAGGATTTATCTCGGGTTGTCCGGTGTATTTTTAGCAGCTACTTCCACAGCATAGTTTGCAAACGATGTGCACATTAACGGTGCATCAAACCGTTCGTACCGAATGATCTAGCCATGTTTTTCCGTAGAAAGTATCAATAATAAAGCATCGTTCACAGACCCATGAAGATAAAGTATGAGCACTAAGCTATTTTTAGGTGAACATAATAATGAGCCAAGTTGTGCGCCCCCTTTTTAGTCAGCAAAGTTTACTTTTGAACATTTGATTATTATTTGGAATTTGTTAAACGGCAGTTGCTTTTTCTTCAATAAACCTGAGTTCAGTAGCCAGACGCTTTTGCCACTCATAAATCTTGAAGAACCTGTCCCGAAACGTCTCTTTTGGGTACAGGCAACATCGTTCAAGAGATAGAACAGCAATACCGCGGCCATTTCTGAAACGCCACTGATGGAATATAGAATAGTTCTTCATATTGTTTGTACTAAAATAATAAATAAATTTTTGTGGTCAATACATAGACATAGGTCCAGTTGGTCTATTCCACATTCCCCGATGGTTACACCTGCAATATGCAGGAAGTTAACGCCGTTGTGTTAACAATCTGTTGTCTTGCTGGTCTACGTGCTTTTCTGGTCAATAGCCGATGCTCTTGTTGGTCTGATGCTGTTTTGCTGTACATCCAGTTGGAAAACGGTCCAGAGTACACCTCTTCTCCGAGGACTCAGGTTTTTCATTGGATGGTGTAGTGTGCAATAGTCGGGGAAAGGCCAGATATATCTGCGAGTTGAAGGACAACAAGCACGACAACGCGATTAATCACGCAATCCGCAGGTAAATACAGTGGGCGGGAGCCCCGGACGGAAGAACACAGTGAGCGATGAACAGCGTGTATTCGCAGAACGGAAGTGAAGTCGTACAACACAGTAAAACAGGCTCAATGTCGAGTATACAACCGAAGAGATAAAAGCGATAAACAGTTTATGGTTCACGATTGTCCGTTCGTGGTTTTGTTAGAGCTGGAGATCTCACAAGATGCATCTGGAAAATAAGAGAAAAAGTGAGAATGCATAGACTGCGGTTAAAGTGAGTGCGATGCCGCTGCAATGGTACCTTTGTTGTGACTTTAACCGCTTGTGGTTGGCAGAGGTGGGGTTCACATAACAGCAGTACTTCCACTATGTGAGTGTGAGTGTCATTTTTTCATCAGTTGCCTTAGCACCTCAGTTACTGATACACAAAAGCTTAAAACAATTTGCACGCTTGGTTGCTTCGGCTGAAAGTAATCTTGAAACCTAACACAAGTAAATCTGCCAGATACGTGATATCGATTTGTTCTCTCTTGTCAGATAGTCTTTCTCAAATATCCATATTTGACCAAGTTAACCACGACTAATGAAAGAAACTACACAACCACAAAGGAAAAGCATTTTGTCATTTTTTTATTACATTTCCCGTAAACTTTCAAAAAAAACTCTTCTACCCACTAATCTAATTGTTTCCAAAATGGAATGAGCCCTTTCATTCTTTTACTGAACTTCGTTGGAAATTTTTCATTTATTTCAAGTGATGGCACGCCGCTTGGAGGCATACTCACTTCTACACAATCTTTAACATCGCGATGGTGTTTAAATTTTTGAGAATTTTCGGATATATCCTGTTGGTTATTTTTCATATTGTGTACTGCCTTTAGCGTATTAGAAACGCACAGTCTGTGGTGACCTATTTGTCAAGATGATGCCTGCGGAATGGCACTAGCGACCATCGGATCCATTTGTAATAGGATTTGCTGTGGGTAAGGACCTATGAAATGCGGGTTTTGTCCGGTTATTTGTTGGATGTCACCGCATGTTGATACGCTACGGGACGATGTGCGGCAGTGTACATCATCTCTCCGGTTGACTCAGGGTATACCGAGTGAGGGTTGCTCACCAACGCACCGCCTCGCGAGTTCATAGATCGAGTAGTATACGGGCGGCCGGTTTGTTCGCGCGCACCCACTCATGTAGGTCAAGTTGCAAGCAGAACGTGTGCAAAACTGGTGATCTGGAATTTTTTGACCAATCCGGATTCGTATTACCACTGCTTGTCCCAATGCAATGAGCGCGACTGCGTTTCGCATCTGTTAACTGTGTTACCATGGTGCACATCAGGCCATTGGCACCCGAGCGTCTATTCATCCACGACATTTAAGCACCGGGTACCTGGGTGAGCAAGATTCTCCGTTTCCGCACGCTGTCCCCGTCTCGTGAGTCATGCTCCGGTTGCTATGCCTGCTTGGAGTTATAATTGCATTTGGAGTGTATTCAGGTAAGTTATTCTAAAATCGTCATTATCTATTGCGGGGGAACCCTGTGTATGATTCTTCGGTTATCATCACAGGAAAAGTTTGAAGGCCGAACATACGTTCGACCTTCAACGACACGACAAGGTCGGATAGTTAACAAATACGCTAATGCTCAATGACCGGTAACAGACTAAGTCGAGATCTCAAGAAATTCCAGTTATGCCAATGAAATCTCACTACTACATTCTTGCCATGAACGGTACCTTGATGTAATTTATTATATCCAGTCTGCATCGTTAAAGGTACATTTATTAACGTTATAATGTGATTCAAGTTTTGCTTTTTACTCATTGTTTGTAATCAGCATGGCTTCTCAAATAAGTAAATAATAAGACTAGATACAGAACGGAGGTAATTAGTGCCAGCGTGCCATTACTGGTTTGATTGATCAGGTAGTCATTGAAGTGGGTGAGAAGTTAAACCGTTTTACAACACTCAATTTGTCTTCGTATGTGACTGGCAGGGTTTGCAGTTACTAAACACACTACGAGCACCGTAATGCTCTTTATACGTCTCGCGAAAGGAATTGATTGGATTTGAATAATAGGATAATATGTTTTCCTGCTAGATGCCTACAGATGGCTGTGCTCACTCAAACACTTAGTGGGCGAAACCATTTTGTCCAGTAGTCCTGAACGATGTGTGCCCACATCTGATTGGCTGGGTAGTCGAACCCTAGGATTTTAGCACCGAAGAGAGCGGAATTCCGGTTGACCATTATGAACAGCGACTTCGTACAATATTAAATATTTTGTCGAAGTATGATATCAATATATTATCGCATTCAATTAAAGCGATCCATTACTGTGCACAAAGTTGCGCTTATTGACCAAGGAATGAGTTCGACAATCTCATCCGACGGTCGCCTTGGTGAGGCACATCAATTTAAACTGCTTGCAACTTTAGCGTTTAAGTGTGCGAGGTTGTTTGACACGAATGAAATTTGCCCAGCTTCATTAAATTTTAACCTAGATCTTTGGTCTGTCTCTGCGCGTCTACTATTCGGACATACAAAGCAGGTAAAGTGGAATTTTTCAGCAATGTGAATTACTCCTTGTAAATAGCCAACCTTTAATAAACAGCTGCAAACGTCTCCGATACAGTAAGAGGCGGTTAATAGCTACCAACCAGCCTACCAGACAATAATATCGATGCAGTTGTTTAGTGTTTTACCGCCCTCTACACTCTCTGCGACTTTACGCAAAGCACTCATGCTCTTTAATACCGCGCAGGGGTAACTTTTACTCGAACAAACTGCAAGTGTAGTATGCGGACTTTCGTCCGGTATGCAACGCATATCTCAGTTTTAGCGGTCTCTTCGCAGATGGGACTACCGCACAAGAACTTTACTGGCTAGGACTTGCCTCACATTTGACAACCAGCCCGAAACTGGGAGTTGTTCAGTGATGTAATCAAAGCGACGAACTAAACGGACTCATGAAACCAAAATGTTAATACATTCAAGCTAATGACTGATGGGGAAAAGACAGCTCAATTTTCATAACGTAGAGAGCCACTAATAAAGTTGGCGCCCGTCTCATGAGACTACTAGCCGCGAGTGGGAATGGTGCGCACGCATTCCACAAGATCTGTTGAAGCGGGTGCTAAGGAAATCACTGTGAGTGAATATAGTACCGGACGGTTTAGTAGGCAAGAGAACTGACTCGTCACATGCGCTACGTCATTTGATTAATGCTGTAGTGGACTGTGAAACGGAAGTCTCAATTTCTGGGGTAAAGTATGAACTTGGGCAAACATGTTCAGTCGAAGGAGGATTAGGCACGCATATGGTATAAGCCCTTCCTCAGTTGCCATCTGTCAGGAGCCGGATGATGTTTCGAAGCTGTATATCCGACCGCTGGGAAAGACGAAGCCCCAACACACACAAATAGCACCAGACGAAGTCTGTTCAACACCAGCACTTTCGAAGTTGTGTATTAGAAAATCTTCACTCTAAACCAGTCACATGAAAATGAGGGGCAACGGAATTGATAAAAAAGATAAAATATTGGGTATGCAAAACCGTTGCATTGCGTATTTGATAAGTGCTCATGCTGCTCCTGAGACAACAAGTAGTATTGGGCACGTATTATATATCATTAAAACAGTTATAGAGTAACGCACTATCATAAGTACAAGCTGATGACTGGACGCCCTTTACCTCAAGTGTACAAACTGTATAAGGTACGAATTAATAATATTAGCACCAGATGTTCGGTGAATGACACTGCAGCTTGATAACATGTGCAGGAGGACAGTTGGTGCAGAACTACTGCCCGTAAGTACATGAGACACAGTGTGACTCAGCGTAAGGAGTCACGAAGCATGGTAGTATACTACTACTAATAATAATACGCACATTCTTCGAATTTGCGAGAAGGTGTCTCTGAAATCTGTCAGGTCCTTAGCACAGTAGTGGTTATACGAAACCATGTGGTAAGCTTGAACTTGACCCAGGCTGGCTTCGGAGAATAAAGTTGCAACTTGGTTCGCTTTACATGATAATAAACCATCAAGTGCCCGGCTTTTGTAACGATATCCAGGATTCTTTAAACATATCAAATTTGCGAAAGGGAAACAAAGATCACGATTCCAAAGCTAAAACATATAGATGGTATACTCCTCAAGGATGTGATGGAAAAAACTAAAACTGTTACATATGTTTTATGCTATTGCATAAATAATTTTTAATATAATATGTCCCGCACTTTCAACTTTAAGTAACACGATGCAATCCGAATTGGTTTGCTGATCACTTCCCACCTGTCTATGAACCCGGGTTCCTCACAAACACATGACAGATATTCAGACCGTAAAAGAAATGAAATGGTATGATAGAGGCCGTGGTCCATAAAGTTTTATTCATGTGTTCATTTAGCTCAGATACGCGTATTGTTCGTAATTTAGTCACGTACCATCGATACCGTTTTCGAAATTGTTACCCGGGGATTGTGACGTCTCAAACATAGTAATCACTTTTTAAACAGTTATGTGCCCACTAATAGCAAGTTTGACTTTACACAGTGTATAACAGGTTCTGATATTTTTTGGTAGTCTGCTCCAGTTCTGGAAAACGAGCGTTCTCTGCTTCTTGTAGTACAGTTTGGAATCTCCATCTTGTTGCGGATCGGGTATCTAATCTTAAAAGACATGTGAGCGCCATCATCAGAACTGTGAGTTTAATAGTTTGTGTTCCTGTAAAAAAGCACATAGGTTTAGGTTCTTCCTCCGAAGCCAGACAGCGTCAAAGCCAAACTTATCTCAACGCTTTCTGGGTGTCACCTTCGAGAGATAACCGAATAGCTTTTTCGTGAGGCGTCGCTGGACCATCACAAGTGTATGCTGGTCAGATTTTCGCAGCTTTCCTTGAACCATTAAACAGTATCCCATATAAGGTATGTATATCTTACGTAAAGCCAGATGCGAGATTCCGTGAAAGAAAAAGGATGGCATATGTATCCGATGGTTTCATTGACTTCGAAACTTGAAAGTCACAATGTTCAAGAGTTAAAGTTGACAAGTTGTCGCACGCCCAGGTCTCTAAATGGCCTGCATCGTGGGATGTATGTGCCTCGCAGTACTACACTGTCTGGCGGTACTTGCTGTATGTTCGAGAGAATGTTCCATTTGTTCACGGCAAGTGACATCATCATTAGTTGTCATCAGCACCCAAGTGCCGGTAAGTCATCTTGAATGACCCTTGTCCCTGTATGGGTATTTGCACCTTCTTGTGAGTAGACTACTTTAATTATTCGCTGAAATACATCTTTACATAGATGCGAAAAAGATGTGGCTCATAAACACTCCCTCTGCTTACTCCGCTGGTTGCTGTTCTGGGCTTGAAGAAAAGATTACTGAAGCGCATCACCTGCTCTCTGCCAAATGGATATGAGAACAGCCAAAAGACATCGGCTCTTCAGTTCATAATACTTCGATTTTTTGAGGAAAATCCAATGAAGCAGTCTATCAAAAGCTTTTTGCATGTCCAGGAACAAGCTTACAACTGTTTGACTTATCAAAGGCAGGCGTTGTGTAGGTTAAGTAGTCTGTCTGGCATGTCGTTCAGCATCGATCATGCACAAAACCGTGCTGCGACTTGCTTATTGATGTTGGCCTTGTTCAAGAAGATAATCAGTTCATCTTCGGCTATTCCGTTATAATTCTAGATACGATGGGAATGTGAATGGTGGGCGAAAGTTTTTAACTTCATGAACGGCTGCATATTTGTACCCCGCGATAACAACATAAGTCACCCAATGAGTAGGATATAGTCCGATGGGCGGGAGTTCCAGGGTTGTGGTACTCGGAGGGAGAAGACGTTTCGTTGACATCCCGGTCGGTTGTACTGCGCGACCAAGTTGAACTGATGGTCCCTCAGAGATGTGTTTTGGCCGAGTTTCTAAAGATGGTGTCAAATATGGTTGTGCTTCTCTAGGACCTGATATACCATTAGGAGATCGCACTGCATACGATAATGACGTATGCTGTATACTTTTAAAGTTTTCAACCTGAGTGATAGGGAAGGCGTGACTAAGCTTTGACGTTGTGCATCGCCCTGCATTGTGTGATATCGTGGGCGGTTAGGTGGCAATTCTGTCAGGAATACCAAGCATGTATAACGTATTCCGCGTGCAGCATCCCGTACGCGCCAGGTATTTTCTGAAAGCCTGAGGCGCCGAAATTCGGACCGCTGTACACAAGAGGTCAAAGTGCTGGATTGTTTTCTTTGTTAACTTTAGGGTCTGCCTCAAATAGCCAAGGTCATCTTGCAAAATTACGCCGAGATCCTAGTCATGAGGAGCCCACTGTAGAATTTGTGACGCTAGCCGGTAGTTGTGAGTACACTGATGCGGTATACGGCGCATTTCGCTCTTGGTGGCGTTGAAATGCCGCATGTTCTCGATGGACCCTGTGCATGCTGTATCCAGATCATCCTCTAGGGCTGTGTGATCCTCCAAGGTGG